CTGCACGAAAGAATGGGTATTTTTAATTTGTGTTCATATTTTTATTTAATACAAAATTGATCATTTAGTGTTTTATTTTTATTTTTATTTTTTTTGTAATGAATTATCAGATGTACAAAATTGCTGTTAGGTGACTGTTCAACAAGGTTATCGATCAAGATCATATCTTTCACAAGTAAGGGACGTGGATTTAGCCTGCCTTTGGATACATCTGGACTAAGCTCTTCATTTGAAGGTAAATATTATATATAGTCAGACCTTCCTAAGTGCGATGAGATTGTATTTAAAGAGATAAAAATCTGTGCTATACACAGTGGCTCTCAATATAACGGACCATCGATATAACGGATATTGCTTAATACGGAGAATTGTAATGGAACCAAATTATGATTTACTATCTTATATCTCATGAGATTTTGATATTACGGAGCTTTTGATATAACGGAGCAAAGGACTGGAACCATGGCCTCCGTTATATTGAGAGCCACCGTGTATTAGTTGAGCCCAAGTGAAGACATACATTTAAAGAGGCTTTTCATAGAACATATATTTAGAGGAAGTTGCATTTAGATGTCTGACCTTATTAAATTTTTAAAATTTATATATATATATTTGTTTTTTCTATAGATGTAACAATCGTGAGACCAATGAAAGATATGCTGTCTAAAGAAATCGGTATATACAATAAATTTCAAGGATTTGAGGCACCTATCATAAGCTCTCTAACATCTATGATGCCACCCAAATCAAGTATAGATCGATTAACTGAAGGTGAAATTCTCGGATCTTTGTTTCAAATGAATTGTAACAAATAACTTTATTAAGTTGGATGTTTTATACGCATTAGAATTTATTGTTAAATTGGAACGGGAGTTTCCATCAACTGTGAGCACTATTTCAAGAACTGCTGCAAAATTAACTCCACCTGAATATATTGATTCAGATAATCGTTGTATTATTTGCTTGATGTTAGTGAAATCTAATTTGATCTTTAAATTACGTCCCTTTTTTCTCTAACAAATGTATTCGTTTATGTAGGCCATATCAAAAGGATGACAAAATTTGGCAAAGCAGAATTACTGTAATGACAACTCCATCATCTACCATTGTTAAGACTCAAAATTCAATTTTTAAAAATTCTAGTATTAATTCAAGCACTTGTTCAGGTGCTGCTACGTGTTGCTCTTCAGACTGCTGTACATCTAAAGATCATAATATTTGTAATTTGACAGATTTTTTATGTTATGCATGTCGAGTAAACATGCGAGATATCAATAGTATCACACTGCCACCTTAGGTGACTGAAGATGTTGAGAAAAGAAACGGACGCGAAAACCTAAAAAAAAGCATTGAAGAATACTTTTTAAGCGATGACGATTAATTATTTATTTATTTTATTGTAACCGTATGTTTGTAAACAGTTATGTTTTTTTGCATAATTACAAAAACCTCCAATAAATTTATTAAATATAAATACTTGCGCGTCAACTCTTAACACAGTTATAATTTCGTTCCTACCTATTCGGTAATAGTTTGTACTTCTGTGA